ACTGATTGTTTTTGTTTTTTAATCAGAGTTCACTGAAACACACCTTTAAAAAAAGATTTTTGTTTGAATACGTGCTACAGAGTTTGGAGAACATGTAAGATAGTTAATAACCTGGTCTGCCCTCAGTATGGGCTGAGTAAAGCAAGAAACCCAATTCTCATAACAACCAATAAGTAGTTATGGGATACAAGGTACAACTCTCCTCTATAAATTGCCATCCAGAGTGATAAGGTGTTTTTAAATTTTAAACATACAACCAGTCTAATATCTAACATCTTACACTCTATAGTATTTCTAACTCATGCCAAACTGCCTTACCGTTTCTTTTTGAATCCATGAGGATTCAGATTCAATACGACTAATACTATCTTATGGCCACCTGCTTGGTCGGAACATTGAGAAGCCTTTATTGCATTTATGAACATAAGAGATGCCATACTGAGTCAGACCAAAAGTCCATCTAGCTCAGTATCCTGTCTGCCAACAGTGGCCAATGCCAGATGCCCCAAGGAAGGGAACACAACAAGTAATCCAAACAAACAGAGGCTAGGGATACCATTCCTACTCATCCTGGCTAAATTATCCTACTCCTGTCATCCATTTCCAAACAAACAGAGGCTAGGGATACCATTCCTACTCATCCTGGCTAATAGCCATTGATGAACCTAACCTCCATGAATTTATCTAGCTCTTTTTTGAATCACAACTTCCTCTGGCAAGGAGTTCCACAGGTTTACTGTGTGCTGTGTGAAGAAAAACTTCCTTTTGTTTGTTTTAAACCTGATACCTATTAATTTAATTTGGTGACCCCTAGTTCTTATAGTATGGGAATAAGTAAATAACTTTTCCTTAATCACTTTTTCTATACAGTTATGATTTTACATTCCTCTCTCATATCCCCTCTTAGATTCCTCTTTCCTAAACTGAAAAGTCCAAGTGTTTTTAATCTCTCTTCATATGGGACTGTTCCAAACCCGTAATCATTTTTGTTGCTCTTTTCTGAACCTTTTCCACTTCCAAAATATCTTTTTTAAGATGAGGCAACCACATCTGTACACAGTATTCAAGATGTGGGCAAACCATGGTTTTATATAGAGACAATAAGATATTCTCTGTCTTATTCCCTATCCCTTTTTTAATGATTCCTTTTTGACCGCTGCTGCACATTGAGTGAAAGTTTTCACAGAACTATACAAAATGACTCCAAGATCTCTCTCTTGAATAGCTGTAGCTAAATTAGTCCCCATCACATTGTATGCATAATTGGGATTATTTTTTCCAATGTGCATTACTTTATATTTATCAACATTACATTTCATTTGCCATTTTGTTGCCCAATCACTTAGGTTGGTGAGATCTTTTTGGAGCTCTTCAGTTGGCTTTTGTTTTAACTATTTTGAACAGGTTAGCATCATCTGCAAATTTTGCCACCTCACTGTTTACCCCTTTCTCCAGACCATTTGTAAATAGGTCGAATAGGATTTCTCTCAGGACAGACCCTTGGGGGAAACCACTGGTTACCTCTCTCCATTCTGAAAACTTGCCATTTATTCCTACCTTTTAACCAGTAATCAACCCATGAAAGGATCTTTCATCTTATCCCATGACAACTTACTTTACTTAAGAGCCTTTGGTGAGGAACATTGTCAAAGGCTTTCTAGAAATCTAAGTACACTGTATCCACTGGATCCCCCTTGTCCACATGTTTGTTGACTCCCTCAAACAACTCTAGTGGATTAGTAAGACAGGATTTCCCTTTACAGAAACCATGTTGACTTTCCTTCAAAAAATCATGTTAATCTATGCCTCTAACAATTTTATTCTTTACTATCATTTCAACTAATTTGCCCAGTACTGAAGTTAGACTTACTGGTCTGTAATTGCCAGGATCACCTATAGAGCTATTTTTAAATATTGGCGTTACAATAGCTATCTTTCAGTCATTAGGTACAGATGCTGGTTTAGGACAGGTTACAAACCACAGTTAATGGCTCCACAATTTCACATTTGAATTCTATCAGAACTCTTGTGTGAATGCCATCTGGTCCCAATGACTTGTTACTGTTATGTTTATCAATTTATTCCAAAACCTCCTCTAATTACACCTCAATCTGGGACAATTCCTTAGATTTGTCACCTATAAGAATGGCTCACGTTTGGGAATCTCCCTAACATCCTCAGCTGTGAAGTCCAAAGCAAAGAATTAATTTAGTTTCTCTGCAATGACTTTATCATCTTTGAGTGCTCCTTTAGCATCTTGATTGTCCAAGGACACCACTGATTAGAAGCAGGAAGCCTGCTAAACAATGTACTTAAAAAACATTTTGCTGTTACTTTTTGAGTTTTTGGCTAGCTTTCCTTCTCTCCTCCCTCCTTCCCCCCTTGCAATTTACACCATTTTCAAAGATGTCAAGTGGCACATTTAATTTCAAAGGCATCTTTGATGGAGGCATCTCATCCTGGTTGTCCATCAGATAGGATACTTTACAGATTATCGCTGAGATTTTAAAAGCTGCCTAGCAGATTTTTATGCCCAATTTGCCTTTGAAATTCTATGTGCCACTTTACATCTTTGCCTAACTTATCTGCCTTCCCCATCTCTAGGGAGCTAGAAATTTTCCTTCCTATCTGGCCCCTCAGAACGAGACTGACACTCCTCAATGACTCAGTGAAAAAAGAATGCTGTAAATTAGAAAAAAACAGATCACTTATTTATTTTTGGTGGGTTTAATACTGTATAAAGACACCGTAACTGGGCAGAAGTTCCAGTGGTTGAGAGAGGCAAATATCCCTTCATATAATTAGCAATCTAATGTAGCAAACACTTTTGGAAGCTGCTTTCAGAAGGTGACTTCAGTGTAGTCTTTTCTCTGAACTCACCCTGCCTTCTTTAGCTGGATACCTGGTTGAAACTGACATTAGTTGACTGGGAAAAAGTAGAGTTGAAGAAAGGTAATCTCTTACCTGTTAATTTTAATTTTTGTAGTCCCTTTGTGTCAGTCCTGACACAGTGGCAACCTTTTTATAAGAGAAAAAATAGCGAAGGGGCTAAAAGCAGTCTGAAAAGTAGACCCAGAACCAAATTAATTTGCTAATCTACCACCAACTTCCTGTGTGATCCTGGTCAAGTCATTTAGTCACTCCATACATCAGTTAAATGGGGTTAATAGTCCTTCCCTATCTCACAAGGGCATGGTAAAGATCATTTCTGGTATATTAAGAGATTGTAGAGGTTACTACAGTAATGGTGCAAACTATAAATATGACAGACTTCCTCTCCTGTTTTGGTATCTGAGGTTACTTTTCCTGAATATTTTCAGACAAACCTTTTAATATTAATATCAAATGTATTGTTTGAGAAGTCTCCAACTGAGCAGGATCAACCCACCAGCCAGCCTGCCCCCTACACAGAAGTATATGACAAGAGCTTTCCTTTTGCCTGTTCGCTCTCCATCCGCTGATAGGAAGATTTACACTCTGAACTGGCATATTAGGATAGGAGAAACCAAATGAACGAATACTGTTATTTCTGGTTTTTCCTAAAATGTACAAGTTGTATTTTCTCCTCACCACATACCAGCACATGCTGTAACGACGGTCTCATGATCTTGGCATGAATTTAAATGAATATTACTTACTGTCACAATTTAAGACAACTCATACAGACATTGGTATCTGAAGCAAGAATAAGTCAGACTTATCAAAACTCCTTTTAAATTATTTTTGGATGGGCAGAAAAAAATACCCAACTTATTAGGAACAGGTAACTGGCTAATAAATTTCTGGACTGGTAATCATGGTTACAAGATGTTCATACTTTTCTACGGCTGTGTGGCCCACCTTTATACCAGGGCACATTTTGCATTGCGACAAAGTTGGGTGCCCTACCATGTGTCTAAGCAATCTAAAGGGTATATAATCAAAGCAGTATGCAAGGATTAAACTGTATGACTCAATCACACAACTAAATCCCCATCCAGTACTTTGAAAACTTACTAAGTGTGAAGCTAAAAATATTAACTAATAGCAGTCAGCTATCTAGCAACCACATCCTCTGTACTACAACATCAATACGAGGCATGTCTGAAAACATGTCTGAGAGGAATTAAAGAACTTTTGTTTGAAATGGGGCCATTGCACTTTGGGACAGATTTTTTTTTTCTAATTTACAGAACACATTTTGCACTCTGGGGTATGGAATTCTGCCCAATCCATAGGGAAATGAAATTTAACAAATCTTTATAGCAAACTTATAACATGCAAAATGTAAACACCTGAGGCCCTGATTCTCATTTATATTAAGGGCCCTTTCCAGCAGCAAAGTGATGTAAAGGAGTCCTTTTTCTGAATGAGAATGAGGCTCACAGTCAGTCAGTTTCACACATTACAGTTAGCATGTGAATGTTCAGCAACACATTTCCACTCTACATGCAACAAACAAGCAAACCACACATTTTTCATACTGTAGCATTTTAAGGGAAGTATTTGCCAGTTGTATATAATATACATGCCTAGAATCTATCATTTGATTTTAAACAGGATCCTACTTCAGAAGAGTATGCAAAAAAATTAGTTTATGCTTAATTTAAAAAGAAAGATCACTACATTCACCTTGTTTTTCTAAAGCTTGATTATCAGTTTTAAAAAAAATGTTTCCCCCAGAGCAAACAATATACTCTGGCAGATTCACGGGAAAATTCTCTCCTTGGCTTCTTATGCTACTCCCACTAAATTCAGTTGGAAATATTTGTATATTTGAGATCAGAACTGGGCCCTAAGTGCATATCTGATTCTAGAATGAATGATCTGATATTTCTTTCACAGGCTTAAATTAATTATCTGTCAGTGAAGATAACCACAATTTTAAGAATTACTACTGCCACTTTTTCAAAACTTAAACTGGAAACAATGGACGCGAGATACTTTTCAGAATCATTTTTCTGACAACATCTTAAAATGCATGCTAACATTTTTGCTGTGTTCACCATGGCTACACAAACCTGCAGTGGTCTGTGTACTAGTACTTAGCAACCAGTCTGCAGTGTTGAGCAGAGTCATGTCACCTGAAGGGAAATTGCAAACAAAAGAAAACTGTTGGGCTTCATTTCAGGTTGTAAAATATCTTTGATAAACTCCATTTTTCTTGGCAGAATTAACCTAAACGAGTAAGACGTGAACTTACAAATTCTAAAGGCAGAGAGGAACAATGTTAAAAACAAAATTACAGTGTTTTAGTTTATATTTTTCTAATAAAACTCAAGATTAAACTGAAATAGACTTAATTTGCATATGTATTTGTTGAATGGCATTTGCAAGCAGAAAATATACCTTTAACTCATTCCTTAAAAACAAAACATTTAGGGCCCTCGGTTAACTTTGTTCTGCTTGTATGCATGAACGCCTCTTATTTAGGTCCATAAGGAGTTCCTGTGGCCAGATCAAGGGAAGCGTCTTATGGTTCAAGGAAACATGTTGAACTTTTGTGTTGCCTCCACACTGAACAGAAGGCCCAAAAAACTGGGAGCTTTTATAAAATCAAGGCTTTGAACTCACATTATTAATAGGTATGTGTTGATTTAATGATATTAAGCTATGGGTGAAATTTAGGAGCCTCAGACCATTGAGCTCTCAAATACCCAACTAACTTTTGAAAAAGGGACATTTACCCTTTCCCAAAAATATACCTGATAACATATAAATGACAGAAGGATCTTTTGTGCGCATAGAATATTTAATTTTTCTACTTCAATTAAAATAAATGGGAAACCAAAATTATACATACATATTTATTTAAAAACAAAACAAAAAGAACCCCAAGTTAATATTATAGATTATTAGAATTTAAAATGGCTTAAAATTTAATCTTACAAACCTTGTTTTGCATAAAGCGAACTGTACATAACGTCAGCACAACTGACTGTCAGCTTTTGATAAGCCATCCCAAACTACAGTCATCTCTAATTTGAGTGGATAACTGAGATGTTCCTCCTGAGCTTGCCAAACATCTATCTGATTGACAGATGTCTTTCCTGGAAGAACGCAATGCATTTACATAGTCTAAAACTGCCTATTTACATGTTGGCTTTTAACATGCAGTACAACTTTGCTACAAGAAATACTCAAATGTATGTACAAAAAATCTTTATCACAAAATGCGATTATAAGTTTCAGTTTTGCAAATACATTATAAACTCATGATATTTTATTTTCTTTTACTTAGGGTTGTATTTACAGCTGTTTTCCACAATTATATGAACATCTCTACATTTTTACGAAAGGTATCATTTGTAGGGTAGATGTGTTGAGGTACTCTTTGTACTATACTGCGAACAAATATAGCCAGTTCATAGGTCAATTTTTCTGTTTCTGCTATTTCTCCTCTTTTCATCAAAACATGAAAGATACATATTATATTTTACCTTCACGGAATTATAACTATTTGAATCGTGGAAAATCCATGAGAAAAGTGGAAGCAGAATACAGCCTATCAAATTATGTTTATCAGCACAATATCAACACAATTTTTAATGACAGTTTTGTATTAACCTATATGGCAAAGCTCTCATAAATGTAGTAACTTGTAATTCAAAATTAAAATAGAGAAATGGCAATGATTACTTATAATTTACCTTTTATAGCAGCTAACTGTAGATATTTCCTTTTCTTCTCATCACTAAAATGCAAATTATTTTGTTGATGGGTTTCAATTATTTTGACTTAAGCAACATAATACCATTCAAATGCATTGAAAATATGTGAAGGGAATACAAACATGATATGAGAGCTATTGCTGAAAGCTGATAATATTAACTACTGACAAACACTGAACATA